TTTCTTACTCTTCCTACTTTTCCTGCTCTTCCTACTTTTCCTACTCTTCTTGCCTTTTCTGCTTTTCCCACGCTTCCTGCTTTTTCTACTCCTAGCTTTACTGCCCTTCCTGCTCTTACTTCTTCCCTTACGGTGTTTGCTGCTCTTTCGTGATCTTGCTTTACTGCCTTTTTTTGACCTTCCTTTCTTCTTTCCTTTCCCTTTTCTTGACTGAGCTTTCTCCATCTCTCGTTTTTTCTTACAGCACGACAAACCACCACCCTTTTGCTTCTCGCTCTTGTCCGCTGACTTCTGGTCCCTCTTTTCCTAAACATCTTCATCAGGAAAGAACTCAAGGTAATCAATGATTATTAACGAAACATACAAGTGTACCGCTCCCAGTCCCAGTTGTCCCAGTTCCAGTGGAAGTCGGTGTACGATTTCTGTCTGCCAGATCTTGCGACATTTTCGAGTAAGTGTGAGTTGCGGAATAAAATGAACCCCACCGCGTTCAACCCCACTTATACCGCAGACCAGATCATTCGATAAGCCATGGCGAATGATGCTTCTGCGAATAAACAAAACCGTCATCCCCAGATCGGCTATGCGAGTTCCTATGCGTGCGTGCTATTTCCACTTTCAATTTTGTTTTTCTAAGGTTAAGCCGGACCCATACCTATTTAGAAGCTTGTTGCGTCAGAGATGTGGCAGGATGAAGAGGAGTGCGGCGATCAGAGCATGGCCGAATTTTGAAAACGGGTCTAATGCACGTCCGCAGTCCAATACAAGACTGGTGTGGCCATGATGTTGTCACAAGTGGCTACATGCCATGTGTCGTATGATTGCTCAATGACTAGGAAACAGCGCCCTGAAGACGAACTGTAGACTCACTCTGTTGATCCTGGTCCTCGCCGTGTATGGTTGGAATGGGCTCGCAGCTGCAGTACAGTGCCACTTTCTCCGCTCAAAATTGCACATGAACAGGTCCGGATATAGGTGATACCCATGAACCGTCTCTATACTTTGCCTGCGCTGCAGCACGGCCATCCACAGGCCTAACCATAGTCAAACGCGCTGCTTGTATGCTCCCTCTCACGTCTGATTGTTCTCCACCGCTGAGTGGAAACAACCGACGTGTAACCAGGGGGTATGTTCATACTCGCACCACTACCCATGACTAGCTTCGTTTGCCGGAACACTTTTGAGCAGATAAGTGTATTACTGTAAGCAACCGTGAAGTGTGTGCTAACATGTTGAATGCACAACGCGGTTACAATTATGAATTTGCTGGCTCATAATTACGGTTTATGACAAATGGTGGCAGAATAAACAAAAGTGATGCGGATAGCAGCACGCGCGAAATGTTTCATATAGGAAAGCCATGGCTGACCGTTTTGTAATGCTAAGCGCGAAGAGGTGAGAGCGGACGCTTCTCACTTGTGGGGAGTCAGTTGTTACTGTTCGATACCCTTCGAAAATGGAGCGAGGTAGCAGATATAGAACAAGACAGATCAGCATAGTTAAAGGCACGGATCAGATATCGAAGTTGAAAATATGGCGTCAGGAGCGACAAACAATCTTGTACCGGTCTCGCGGCAAAAATTTCTATTAGAGGGGCGCTGTAGCGCAATATAGGTTTCAGTGCCACCCTTTTTTCAGTGGACTCGCTCCAGACTCACCCCTAATGATAACTTTCCAATGAAAATGATGACTAGCAGGACGAAAGCATGATGGTTCGACTTGTAACAGATATGTGCAAATCTTATCGGTGAAATCAGACGTTGCATTATGGGGGAGAGTTTGGAGAAAGAGTTGATTGAGGCGGACAACTAGGATTAGAATTGGGATTTCATAGTCGTAGCAGCAAGGTAGAATGTCCTTTTTTTTTTTGTTCACACTGTGCTAGTTACTCTCCCTGTCGTTCTGAATATGAACCCTAATCCATCTGAGATATGCGAAGTAATCGCGGATCTGCTTCGAAAAATATAAGTGGGGTGTATTCGCGTAGGACAAGAGAGGGCGAAGTCGCGTGGGCCGAGAGATTCCACCCGCAAGTGTGTCAGCGCTTTTTCAAGCCGTTTCATACCAGATAGACGTCATTAAGGCTCAGTACAAAACTATATGTTTAATTCCGCTGATTGCACGGTAGGAGGCAGCGAGCTGCGTTTGGCGGTGCCAAACTCGTTCTACACCAGTTGTTGAAGCGGGCAAGTGACAATACTGTATCATATCCTTCGTATTACTCGTCTTCTACCACTTTTTGTCGCATGCGCTCTTCAACAAGAAGGCAGAGAACGGCTCTGATAGGGTGACACACTCATACTGGCTGACACGCCCAACCGTCCGCAGAGAACTAGAGTGTACGCTATCTTGCCTATTATTTTCTCGGATTCCAGGCTCGAAAACAAGTTCGAAGTCAATTATGATAAAGTTTATTTATTTCTCCATGTTTAACACCAAGTCACTGTATATTTCTAGAGATCTTCAGAGTCCGTACGAGATTCGAGTTTTGGGCAAACAGTCTTGTGCTTCTCCAGCACTTGCACTCGAGCGAATGACAGCTCACAATGATCACATCTGTAAACTTGCTTATTTAGAGAAACCTTCTCTCATTGTCAATTCAGAGAAGTTAATAAATACACAACTTTATTGCACCTGTGCTTCCTGTGCGGGTAATGTGTTTGTTCATGAGCTCGTAGATTACTTCGATCAGCAAAGTTCCGACCACAAAACGAGCACACATAAGGCTTTTCACCTGAAGCACGACGAGGTTGATGTAGAGAACAGGAAACAAAAATTTAAAATCACACCAAACATCTATTTTAAAAATTGAGGACCTGTGTGCGTCCGCTGATGGCCTTTCAGCAACCACGGGCGACTGAAACTCTTTCCACAGTGCTCGCACGTACATGGTAAAGAATGCGTTTTAAGATGCATCTTGAGAGCTCCTGGCGATCTGAACATTGAAAGAATAGTTTAATACTGTTACCGTGACAGTAATAATCAATCATGAATCTATAATAGCAAAACACTAACAATCCGAAAAAATTGTTAAGAGCCTCAATATTGAAGTCGAGCAAATTTTTCCCAGTTGCTCAAATATTTCATCCAGTGCCAGTCCTAGTTATATGCAACCACTGATTAGAAGGCTCGAAATAATAGTGGACAGATAAGAAAAATGGAAATCACGAAAGTTGATTATGATTAATCATAAGGCTTGATGAATCGAAAAAGACAAAAAAGAAATGAGTAAATAAAGAAATTGCAGAAAACAAAAAAAGGAAATGAGTAAATAAAGAAATTGCAGAAAAAACTGTGGGGGACACAACTTCGCCCTTGCTCAAGCTGCAGAGCAAATGAAGTTTATCTGAAGTCATGCACGGTCAACCACTATCATTTAGAGACAAACCGTACACCCACCTCCGTGGATCCTGTCTTTGCCGCGTAGGGATCCGCAGCTGCAGCCAGCATGCCACTTTATTCAGACAAATCAAAACTCACAGGAATGGGTTTAAGGAGAGGTAGTGATACCTATCTGCCAATACAATACTCCGCCCGCACTGCCGCACGGCTAGCCTAGCGATAGCCATAGCCAAATATGTACGCTAATTGTCCTAACGCTCTCAGCTTCTCCACCATTGAGTGCGTGCTTCGCTGCGGGACCTTGGTATGGACACAAGTGTTACAACTTGAGAATACTGCGGATGGACTGTGGAAACGGAGCGCATCACTACCCCAGTGCCCCGTTTCTGGGCACTTTTAAGCGAAAAAAGTGGCACCGCTACTGCGGCCGCGGACCGATTCATCTTGTACACGGAAATGACGGTCCTCGGTGGTGAGTGTGGAAGCAGTCTTTTAAAGCGCATTATGCAAACGTGTTTGTAGGATTAAATAAGTGAAAAATAAAAAGTAAGCAGATTCAAGTTCGGTATTTACTGTGGTTCTGAGGCGAAAAGAAATAACGAAAAATTGGTACTTGGTCTAAAATGCTAGCAGGGCGCTATATAGTGGGGAAAATGGCGAAAACGAAGTGAAACGGTCAAAAACCTGCGAAGAAAAGCCTTCGTTCTAATGACTTCGAAAACCAATTTCGGGCGAGCTCCAAGTAGGCATTCCGTCTTGTCAGTAACCGCTACGGTAAGCACGGCTGCACTGTGCACTCATATATCCATGCAGCACCGCGGCCGCTTCATATCAATCCCTTCGCTTCATATTTTACTTCGCAAATGAAGCAATACGAGCATCAGGTACGGTCGTCCATTTGTGGGCGGGCGGCGGTGGGCGTCGGGTCGGTATGTTGCAGCTTGATAGGGCCTCATAAGGGCACCTTTGAAAAGGCGCTACGCAGCGCCTGCTCAGGGGCACCGAATTCTGTCCTGCTAGGCGTATCAATCCTACACGTTCTTCATTTTGAGAGTGTCATCGTGCCAACTGCCTTCAAGATGACCTAGCATGGTAAGCCTTTCTGATACTTGGGTGTGACTCGTTGCGTCCCTGTTGCGGCAACGATAGCGAGAGAGCCAATTTTTCAGTGAGACCGCTAACTTTCAACGCATGCCCCGCCCACTGTGGGTGGGGCTTACCATGGGTTACGGTTGCTCTTTACATCTTGTCACATGCCCTACCCATCCCGACCTTGACCCCACCTCTCCAAGTTGTTCTTCTGGTAGAACCGAATTTCCGGACAGACAGACAAACAAACAAACAAACAAACAAACAAACAACAAGCAAACAAGCAAACAAACAAACAGACGAAGCAAATTATATATGGTGGGTGATGATTATTCATTACATGAGGTACTGTTGCACTCATACGGAAACAATATTGAGTGCAACAGACTCTGGCTAGGTTAGGCAGATAAACTGCAACTTCGATATTTATCAGTATGCTTTATGGAAATTGTCGAATTGTTTTAGTGAAGTGTAGCTCCACCACCAAAGCCTTTGAGGTACAGAAACATGAATCTATAGTGGAAAATCCACGCCTAGGCCCCAAAGAGAATGGCACGGAATGACTTCGACGCAGGTGTAGCACGGGTCCGCTACCTTTTAGGAATATGGCCATGACATGTCACAGAACACAATAGTGAAGAAAAGAGAAAGTGAAAATGATAAAGCCCCCTCCCCCCATAGCCAGTGAAATCTCAAGACTCGTCATCGACGTGTTAGTGGACGTTACTGTCACACCATCTTTCTTTCAACAGGTAAGCACATGAAAAGTTGAAAAAAATCAAGTAATAGGTTGTAAAGTAATGGGAAAATAAACTAGCTAAACTATAATAAACTAGCTTCCAAAGATAAGCTTTGTCTTGTTTTGTGCAATCTCACAAGATTGCCCCACCTGCCCCCTCACCCCCGCTCCTCTCTGAACCACTGTGAAACTGGGCATTTCAATAACACATCCACTTTTCCAGTGCTTAACTTAAAATTCGCGGATAAACTGCTTTTCATCCAGTCCCCAACAGTACAGCCAGCCGGCAGCACACACACTTGTTATCCGGCCACCTGTTTCGAAGCTTTCCGGTTTCCTTTACGTTTGTAACACCCAGGCGAACAGGTGCGCACAGGTGTGCCGCTCAGCATCAAAATATTGCCGCCCAACAAAGGCTCACAACCCTTGAGCCTTGAAGCTGTTCCTGCTAACACCGGACTTTCTAAGGTAGACATGGGTTGTGGAGTTGCAGCTACTATCAGGTGCTTTTGGCAGCTACAAGTACGTTTTGCCAAAAGCAGCTGAGAGTAACTTCACGCACTGCGAGTGCATTACAAGACATGAGAGAGAGGGCCAATTTGCATAAAAAACGCATAAGAAACTGACTTGTAATGTTTATGACATTTAGAGCATGTTTGGTCAACTCGTCCATCTTGATGACACTGCATATGTCGGCGCAGGCCGAAGAACGTCAAGTATGATTTAGAGCACAGGGGACACTGGAATGTTCCGGTTATTCACTGGAGTAACGAATAGCCTCCTGATCTTATCGTCATATTACAACAAAGAATAATTCGGACTTAATTCACACCTGCATTCTCTCGTTGGCTGTAGCTATGGTTGAAGGTTGCGAAGTATCCGGCGAGAGGAGGTCATCGATATCTGCAATGCATTTCTCTACAGAGTTCTTCTATTCGATGATGTGATAAGGGGCCACAATCGAAGAAACGATCATCAATTTTTGCCTGGCCACTGTGCTCACGGTTTTTGTTCTGGCCGATTGCCATGCATCGATATATGACTTACTCTCGAAGATGGACCGTTTGCGGAGTGCAGCTGCCATCAGCCGACCAGCGTGGTGAAATATAGTGGGATGGAATACGTCAGAAATTGCAAATCAAGTGATGGTCGAGAAGCCAGAATGATCAAGTAATCTGTTTCCGCACTCACCTGTGCAACCTGACGGCCGCCACAGGTGCTTTACACTGGCCATTTCTCTCATTCCACCACCACTCGTGTGAGATACGGTAGCCGTTAATGTGTATCAGCTTCACTGGCTGTCTTGTTTTACTCACAACACTGACAGCTTTCACTCAACTGCATAAACTTCTGTGTTCGCCCCAAGCAAATGCTTTTACCTATTTCTTTTTCAGTTGAACAGACAAGCTTTTCGAAATTTTTTTCCTGGACGGCATGAACTCGCCACTTCTTCTGTCGATTCTTTCAATCCTCTTGTTCTTGTCATCACCACGTATTATGTTGCACCGCATTTTGCTGCAGGGAAATTTCGGCGATACTGGGACAAAATTTCAGACTGGTACTTTTTTGAGCAAAAGTTCAATCAGCGAGTTATTCATCAGGGCACATCATTTTTGAGATTTCCCGACAAAGGGGGTCCTATTTGAGGGTCGAGAGGGTCGTGTTTCGTTTGAGGAAATTTCTTCGATGGCCAATTTTTTATTGTTTCACGGGCGATATAAGAGCGAGGGTCGTATTTGCCTTCTTGAGAGAAATTTGCGACGTTTGGAAAGATTTTTCCCGGTTGTTGAATTTTCGTGGTTATTCCTGTTTGACATGTGCTATATACTCCTCTCTCCTGCTCGCTCGACAGCAGAATATAGGGGGAAAGTAAGAAAATTCTAGGGCAATTCCAGAAAAAACTGGAAAAAGTGATGGGAAGTTAGAAAATCTAAGAAAGGGGTAGGCAAGATGGGGAAAGGGGGGCTCGTATTTGCTCGCAGTTTTTCCCGTTTCACATGTGCTATACCCACCCTCCCCCCCCACTCACCGCTCGACAGCTCGATCGTTTTAGGAGGACGGAACTAGGGGGGGGGGTTTGTATCAAGCCACCTTTCAGGGCGGTAGTATGGACTCGACCAAATCCCCAACTATTGATGTGCCTTGGTAATCATTACTAATAGCAGCGACATTCGAACAACTTCTTGATTCCTCTCATCTAAGATTACGGCGCTCCGACGAAAAGAAATAATCCATTGGACTCTGATTTGCATGGAAGTTTAACTCCAGAAGTCGTCGATATTCCTGAAAGCGAATATAGTATCTGGTCGCCATGAAACGGCTTGATGTCCACATCACAGGAGCCAGCGCAGAACCGCAACCACTAAAATTGCTGAATACTCGGAACTTAGTGGTAGTTCGGCCCCGAACGCAAATTTCACATCTACGAGGAAACTGAGCATGCAGGAAAACGAGGGGGCCCCCGTTTGCTTGGCTGTACCCTTCCCACGAAATTGCGATCTTTTTCTGTGTTAAGGTTGAGCCTCCTAGCTTGAGGCCAGGGAAAGACCGCTATCGCAGGTATCTAAAAAGGGTGCTGCCGCCATGTCAGTGTTTCTCAGCTGCTCTGGCACACCGCTCGGCAAGAAACCTCGTGGAGTCCACGCTGCATGCACCATGCATGCGAAGCCGTCACCTGTATCGTAGGTGCCAAGCGGTGCTAAGCGAGCGCTAAGCGAACAGGAAACTCAAGCGCGACCATTCGGTGCACCTGGGTATGTGGCAAGAGAATCGTAATTCGCCGCGCCAGTGGGCGTCGCGTGCGACGTCGCGCCCGCTAATGACGACGATTTCAGGTGGTATTGGTCGAGAATAGACAATGTATGACCAAAAATAGACATAAATGTCTACCATGTCCTTGTCTACATGAAATCCGATGCTCCAATCGAAAGGGTAGTGCAAATTAAGGAAACGTCGCGCCATTGCCGCGTGCGACGGCTTACGATTCTCTTGCCCGTCTCCCAGGTGCACCTTGCTAGTACCGCAAAGTATTCTCCGATCATTCTACTTCTGCGAAGTGGTTGTGTATGTAGAGGCCAAAAATGTAGGATGGGTGAGAAAAAGGCATGGTTCCAAGCCATCTCACCCATCTGATGATGAGAGACCTCCTGGGACACCTACCAAAGAGTGGATTGCCTCGACTAGTTTGAATTTTTCTGAAGCAGTTTGTTACAAGTGTTGCAAGACTTTTTCACCCTGATATTCTTCTTACATTAGATTACTATAAACTGAAGAGATCGATCTACAAACTAGTTGATCCCACGCTACTTCCAAGAGTTGTCGTCGTTTCGTGATTTAAAATGTTGAGATTCATTGTCAGAAGTGTTAGGCAGCGTTCACAATTCGCGACGGCAGCGGCGATCGCGGCGATCGTCGGTACGCGACCGAGCGCGCCCCAACGCTATTCATTGACCGCTCCGAGGGCTTTTCGGGAGAGCCGGCCCAATTTCGTTTTCTTGAAATTGCGACTGTCTCAGGTACGGCTTTTCCTTTGCTATTTTCTTTTTTGCTTAGGATTTGAAAATTATGCGAAAAGCATGAGAGTTTCATTTAGTGTACAATTCTTATTATTTCTTTTTTTTTCTTCAAGCTTTTACATGAAGTTATGGAGTTTCCTCCTCTAAGATGTTGCATAAAAAGATCAGGGTTTCGATTCCTAGGTGGGTTTCTTTCCTTTTTTTTTCGTTGTTTGAACACGACTTCTGAAGTATGAATATTTTGGAACATATAGCTAATGAGAAACTTTTAAGGCAACTGTATAAACTGAAACAATGAAAACAAAAGAAACAAAAGAAGTTCACCTGGGAAATGAAGCTGCCCTTATCCCGACCTCAAAAAAGGTGAAACCCCCTCTCATATTTAAGACCCTCTTAGGTACAGAAATTTTCAGTTAGTAGCCATCCTTGAGAGCAAAAAAATTTACAAGTTGGATTTCCTTATTTATCAGAAGCGAGCGGTCCAAGTAATAGCGTTGAAGCGCTCTCTCGCGTACCGACGATCGCGGCGATCGCCGCTACTGTCGCGAACTATGAACGCTGCCTTAAAGACAGTTCCAGGATCGCGTACGACTAATGGCGTGCAGTTATGAAACTAGGTGCCAAATGTCTCTTCAGTGAAAAAAGTGAGGGGAACCTATCGCAAACATCCTGAATAAATTATCTCCTTTGGAGCCTCATTGTGCAAACTTTTCGACCCTGCTGGCTAACGGATGAACTACGGCCTGTACGCATTCTCTGGCTAGCATATGGTTTTTCGCGCCAAACAGTACTAAATGACATCTAACATTGAAGGGAAAAACAAAAATACGCTGTAGCAACAAAGCCTATAGGGAGGCATATATAACGCTAGATACATAATTGACAAACTAATGTATCTCGCACCCGGTTGTACGGCAAGTATTGGGTTCCTTATAAGTAAGGGCTTTTTTACGCAAATTATTAGGATGAAAGGCGAGAATTGTTTATAATGAGTACTATTATTTGCTAGATAATTTTCTGTTCTACAGCCTAGCGTGGTTGTCACTCTGCTATTTCATGTTTTTTTGATTCTGCTGAAGTGGAGTGCCGCCTCGATACAAATGTGAGTTTTCGATGAACAAGGAACGATGCTTCTTATGATGGCTACCAAACCGGTTCAAGCCATTCAGAGATGGGGATTTGGACCTTGTAAATGAGGCGTCCTTTTGGGGATCGACTGGCTGCAGAACCTATCCACCAGGTTTTAAACATCCCCCATGAACTGATGGCGATGCTCAATGAAAACATGGAAGTCTTCAACGGCATCTACCGTCTCCCCATTCTATGGCGTGCATTTCCGTGAGTAAGGTGATTCAGCAAGCTCTCATTTAGACTCAGAAAGGGTGATTCAATACTTGTATTTGGGGTAAAAATTGGAATCTTTGAAACGGCTAAACCTTTATAAGCATTTCTAAGAGACATAGCTTTCCTGCGTTTTCTGTACCTAGCAGAAAAGTCTGAACTGTTTTGACTTTCTTGAGTAGATGTGAAAAGGAGAGGCTGTCGGAAATGGTCAATTTCGCCGGCCTGGCACTTCACTTGAGCACTCAAAACTTAGTGAAATCAAAATCGTCAAAACAATTAGGAGGGCTATTTTAGTATCGGCAGGTAATTTGCTGCATCTGGCTACCATAGATGGTGACTGGCTCCATTCCAAGATCTACACTTCAGTCGTGAAGCCAGTCGCCATCTATGGAGCCGAAACAGATGACGGCCGAGGAAACAAGAGCCTACGGTGTTATGGAGATGAGAATGTTACGATGGAGTCTGGGACACACGCGACTCGACCGAATCCGCAACGAAACAGTCCGAGACAGGATGAAGGTCCAGCCGATTGCCAACTCCCTTGCCGCAGCTCGTCTCCGCTGGTATGGTCACGTTCAACGAAGACCTCCTGATGCTGTATCGAAGTCCGCTGATAAGATCGTCTTCGCCGGTAAACGTCCAAAAGGCCGTCCTAGAATGCGGTGGAAAGACAACCTGAATATGGACATGACTGCTGCTGGCCTGTCCGCAGCCGATTCTATTTACAGGGACCGTTGGAAAGCGTTGGTCAAAGAAGCGTACCCGACAACAGTTGGACAAGAACGCTAGGAAGAAGAAGAAGGTAATTCGTGCAAAATAGTATAAAAATCAGTCGCAGAGCTTATCAATTTAGCGAAAAAATACGCCATCCTTTTTGCGCCACCCAGTATTAATGAATCGCACATGCAAACCTTTGCTAATATATTTGAGGGATGGGGGGGGAGGGCACGCGGCACGCTGCTCTTGTCCTTCCTCCTCGCCGAAATAGTATCCCGCGTGTTTGGTTGGCTTAGGGAGGGTTCTTCAGAGGTAATTTCGTAATTTCAGAGTAGGTTATAAGTTTGATATCGTACAGGGGTGGTAATCTAATAAGGCTAGGTACCTAACGCTGAAAAATGCGAAGAAGCAATAGTGAACCATTGCATGAGGACTTTCGCCTATGTCCAAGAATAGGACGAACTTCAAGGTGGGTGAACCTACTGGTAAACCTATTCTTTTGTGCAAAATGATTCTTTCAAATGCCTTGGATGCTCTGCAGAACCTAATAAATTCCGCTATTAGTCCGTAGCTCCCCACCAGAATAGATGGGCGGATGGTGAGCATCAAAAGTCATGCTTTTCGACACATTTTTCAATCTGCATATGCACTTCACCTTTCTGTTGGA